TCTATTGGTCATTAGGCCGTTAAATATTCAAATAGTAACTGTGGAACATAGGAGGGCAGAGCTGGCACACGTACATGGAGGCCGTGCTAGCCCGAGGTCCCGGAGGTTGCTTCTGGGAATCCCTGTTGATTCGAGAAAACCGGAGACACCCGCCAGAGGCATCCATGTGGCCGGATAGAGATGCTGGAGCCAGTTTTCTGAAAATGTGATTTTGGGTGGGTGGGGGCCTAGGCAAATGCCTAATTTGCCTATGGTATAACGCACCACTGATTGTCTTGCTTAGAAGTGTAAAAGTTCCAGATATTTTGTGAAGCAAGGGCAATGTTCTTTTTCTTTCTGTTTCTTTTATTTTTTTTAAAAAGTAGAACATTTGGAAAACATTTGGCACAGGCTAAAAGGATGGCAAGGAACAAGAGTTTGGTTTTTGGTAAGTGGGATGTTTTATGGCTGGTGACTCTCCCTTAGCTGGCACCTCTCTTGTGAAGGGACAAGCATCCCCGGGCAGCCATTTTCTGTTCTGAATGAATAAAGGGATGCTACCCATTATTTTGAGGGGGGGGGGTTGCCTCTTTGAGGCCTGATCAGATTGTCAGGGGGACAGGAACAATTCTAGCAATCTCTGCAGAGCTGAATAAGAGGGCTGAATCCTTTCTTCCTTTTCTCATGAGAACAGTAGCGACTCTAGGAAGCAGAAATGCATCTTGTCCTCAGGATGGGAATCTCTATGTAGAAAACGTTATATATAGCTTTAAGGAATGATTGTGCTCAACTAAAGGGATTCAATACAGGCCTTTTCTTAAACATATCCCCACTGTATAAGGTTTCCTTTTTTTCATGAGCAAACAAACTGCCTTGTTGATTTTTCTCCATTTTCCCTCAAAAGTTTACACTTTTTTTCCTGAGCCTTCATTTCTCTAATCTTTCTGCTTAATGTTTTATTACATGTCAGTTGTAGACGTCCTGTAAACTTTTCACTGTACATCTAGTTATTTATACTCATCCTGTCCAAATCTTTACTGAGAAACAAAAAGGTTTATTTTTTTGACAAAATACAGTTCAGTATCTAATCTCTTCTGATAGAACTGAAGGGACTGGTTAAAAGTGTCAACATTTCAATTATCTCTCTGGCTGCAATGAATAGCTGAGACAGCCTCTGCTTTAATAGTTTTAGTACTTATTTGGCTTCTCTCTGCAGAATCCTGCACTCGCACTAAACCAGTTTTAATCCATGGACAAGTTTATGCAGCCTGTATTAATGCAGCTAAATAAATACAGATTCTAAAAGGCAAATGTTATATCCTTCTTCATTATGTAGAGAAATCTGGGAAACCTACAGAAATAATAAAAATCCAAAGGAGTCTGAGAGCACCTTTTCAGACCAACACACTTTATTAAAAGGCATAAGCTTATGAAAGCTTATGCCTTTTAAAAAACTGTATTGGTCTGAAAAAGTGCTCCCAGACCCCTTCAAAATTTTGACTACCATAAACTAACATAGCTCTCTTCCTACAATTTGTACAATGAGAAATCATAAAGCCTTCTTCAGGTTGACTCCTGAAATCATAAAGCCTCCTTCAGATTGACTCCATGGACAGAGTTATGGTGATGTAAGAGGATTCCATATTTGCAGCATTTCTTTTTTCTCACTTGTTTCCTTTCAATACTGATTTCCCACTTCTGTTATGTAAGATCCCTTCCAGCATGTTCTAAAGCTCCCAACCAATTAAGTGGGTTTTAGCAGACAAATGGAAAGGATGCCTTTAGGGAACTTTCCAGCGACTGAAATAGAAAGGGTCTGGTAGTTGTGGGGAAACGCAGTGGCGAAGGAGTATCCTGTGGGGAGCAAGCCTTTTAAGTGAATGCTTGTGTCAGCCACCTGGCTCCTCTTTTTCATTCCCCATGGAGAAATCATGAGCTGTACCTCCACGCAGTGACAACACTAGAAAAAGTGGGCACCAAAGGGGCAAAGCACATTATTTCTAGTTGAGCAAACTGTGTCTCATGTATTAGGTTCTTGAAAGAGAAATAATAGAATATGTGACTTTAACAGCATGAGGTTTCTACATGGGATCAGCAGGAGGTAGGAACTCCTGACAAGAAGCATTTGCCCCTGGCTGCCCTTGGTCTCCCTGCCTTCATGCAATTAGCTGTTCAGAAGAGAAGCCCAGGAAAGGGAGAGACTCTTACTCGAACTTCCTCATGGGATTCAAATGGCCCTCTGATGCAATCCATCTCTCCCTAATGGGAGCTCTAATGGTGAATGTCTTTCAGCATGCTTAGATTTATTCCCTTTCCTTCACCTAAGTGGTTGGGTTGATTTCAAACCTGTAGCTCACTCCATGATTCCTGACATGGTTTAACAGCAAGTGTTCTTTCACTGAAGTCCATAATGGCACCATAGTATAAGCTGGAGGTCTCTTTTCAAGCACCAGATGCTTTTCAGCTAAATGGTATCATTTTCTTTAACTATCTGAGCAGCATCTATCATCAATTGGAGTCAGCTTTATTTCTGTAGACAAGCGCCTGAAAATGCGTCTGTCTTTTTACACATTTATATTGCACCATATGTAGAAAGCTAGCCTCTTATCATTAACAGCTGGGATGGATGTAGAAAAATAAAAAGAATCTGATTTCCTGGAATAATGCATACCCAAGAAAAATGAATAGTTGATACAGCTTTCTAATAGACTTTTTAGCTTAAATTATTGTCTTACTGATCCATCGCTTGATTAATTTTTTGTGGACTAGCTAGCTGACCACTTAGGTTTTCCTGTGGTCAGTATAAAAAGCCAAGGAAGTTGCTGTGTAGATAGCAGCTAACATAAGCTCTGGTTTTTTGGACACATTTACCTTTACATAACCTTTTGTGGATAACAATAATATTAGTCATAATTTGCTTTATTTCTGTTTTTTTTTAAAGGCGGGGGGTGAAGCAATACCTTAAAAATATTTTTGCAACTATACTTTGGTATGCCAGGATAAAAACAAGCAGAAACGCTGTTCAGTGGATCATCCATATTTATTGCAATATTCCTAACATTTTAAAAATAATTAATTACAGCAATAGTTAATTTGCTTTTGTAAGTGGCACAAGTATTAAAATTGTTCCTGATTGGAATATGTTTTTTGTGGTACGAATAAGGCAAATGCTTTAAAAACATCGGCCTAACATTTTAGCAACACATGATTGATCAGTTGCAGTCTTATGAATTACTTAAAAAGGACTCCAGAACTCTCTATTCAACACGGCCATATTATCTAAGAGTTGTGCATGCTGGGGTCCAAGATAAACTCCAGGGCATACTGGATTGGGGAAGATGTTCTAGTGCCTAAAACACAGGTATAATCTAAGAAGACATTGTGTATGCCTCACTCACCACAGCATGGCATAATGTACTATATCATATAATTTATAGCTCCCACTAAATTGTGAATGATAAACTCAACTGTATTCTCCTGCCAAGCACTAAAAAGAGAGTCCTCCATCCTCCTATATAGCTGCAAAGTAAAATGACTGCTGAAATAATTATTTGTATCCATCCAAATGGTTATATGGGAACTGCTAAAATAGTCTCAGTTATGGGTATATCAGTCTATAAATAACTTTATATTTGCTGAATTCGCCAGTCTGTACGCAATTATCTTCAGCAGCATCACTGCAAATCTGACATCAGGAATGATAATATTCCAAACTAACAGGGGAACATTTCAAAAGAACAACAGTTTCACTGAGAAATAGTTTATTGTGATCATTTTAAAATATGAATTAACTTGCTTTTTCACTAAGCCGTATGGGATCATACAGTTCTTTCTGGAATATCAAATAGCCTGAACTGGTTTTATGATAATATAGATTCTTTTATCTTTTTTTTTTTTTTTTGCTTTGCAATATATCCTTTTGCTGAGCCAAAAAAAGGGATGCTCGTTTTGTGTAAAGTACCATCCATCCATAAACTGGCCAAAAGTTTTTAAATAAGAGTCAATTTATGAAAGGTTCCCTGGGTCTGGGCTATTGGGCTGACCTTTCACTTTTTAGTAAAGGAGCACATGACTTGAGATATGATTCAGTTTATTGTTGGTGTTCATGACCATATTTAAATAACTTGCTTTGCAGTCATTCCCATTCTCATTTCCACCCCCTCTATGCTCTATTAAACCTCTGCCAGTATGTAATTCTTTCTGTTTTGATTACAAAGGAATAAGGTACTAGCAGTATAGCAGAAAAACTGAACTGATTGCCTGACAAGCTAAGCTAAAATTCTATTTTAATAGAATGTATGTTTTTAGATACTGCAAAGGTCTGCTACTAGCAGACAATGTTAGCTAATTCCAAGATGCTGATTATTTATTGCTACTATTTTGCTTCAAGAAACATTTGGGTGAATGAATTCATGTTCTGTGCTTATCTCTGCAACTACCACATACTTTCTGTTTTCATAATTTCAGAATTGCACTCACCCCACCCAGATCTCACCACTGCTGCCTATGTGTAGACTAGTGCCCCTTTCAGCTGGCCAATGGGGAATGCAAAAAGTGATGCTTCAGCCAGTGCTTTTGCTTCTGTAAGCCAGCCACTGTATGTGGAAGTGGAAAAAAAAATACCCAACAGAAAGGGGGAAGGATAGCAAGGCACCCAGCAGCTGGACTCAAGGAGACTAGACAAGAGAAATCCCAGGAGGTGGGGCAAGGAGGGAATTCCTACTGATCTGACACTACTTACCCCACATTTCTGAAGGAAACTACATTAATATCTTCACAGTATTTCCTCTGGAGGATTAGCTAAGATGGAAGTCAGCTGAGCTGGCTCAGCCAAGAAGACTTCCAGATGCCACATAACATCATGGGGACCTAGGAGTGATACTGATCTCAGATTAGTTCAGATCTTATGTATGTAGGCCATAGCAATAAATGAAATAGTTTATTCTTTGAAATGACAGCATTCTCCCCCCTGAATATTTAAGTACTGTCCTAGTATAACTGCTGTTTTTGTGTATCTGCAGGCTCCTTGAACTGAAATCTGGAGAATCATATGCATATCTCATGCTTAGAGTGAAATCATGGCAGCCAATGATAAAGTAGCCATCTTAACTGATGACGAAGAAGAGCAGAAGAGAAAATATGTGCTTGCTGATCCTTTCAGTGGGATTCCCAAGGAGCAAGATCTCCAAACCCAAAGTGATACCCCTTCAACTGAGACCACTACTATTCCAGACGAAGAGCTTGATTGGCTTGAAAGACACTGCGTGAAAGTGAATAATGATCTCTTGATCTCAAAAGTCTTTTATTTTTTCTTTTATGCTGCTTATGGTTCCCTGTACCCATTGCTTCCCGTATACTACAAACAGCTAGGCATGACTCCCAGCCAGAGTGGACTCCTGGTAGGGATTAGATACTTCATTGAATTTTGCAGCGCTCCGTTTTGGGGAGTGGTAGCAGATCGCTTTAAAAAGGGGAAGGTTGTTCTTCTCTTCTCCCTATTATGCTGGGTGCTGTTTAACTTAGGAATTGGGTTTGTTAAACCAGCAACCTTAAGGTGTATGCTAAAGAACCCTGTCCCCATTCCTCCTACCAATGCCAGTCACCTTTCAGCAGCAGCCCCACAAAATATCTCCATTTCTTCTGTCATGCCTACTCTGGGAACTACATTAACGAAGGGCCGAGGGAAAAGAGATTTGCTGACCTACAGCTTGCCAACTCTGAGCTCAGCTTTGCCCATGAATTCTAAATCTACCTTTTCTCCAACTATTCAAAATGGAGATGGGGAGCATTCTTTAAAAGAAGAAGAGGGTGCAACTGTTGCCAGTACTCCAAAAGTTACTGCGGGTCTGTTGGGAAATACCACCCACATAACAGCATCACCTGCAGTCACCACAAAAACAGCCCTTCCTGGCCATGTTTCTCTTGTCTATGATCATCAGGAGGTTGAAGCGATCTTCTTGCTCATCCTCCTTGTTGTGATTGTAGGAGAGTTTTTCAGTGCCTCCTCAGTCACTATAGTGGACACTGTGACTCTGCAGTATCTTGGCAAACACCGGGACCGTTATGGGCTACAGCGAATGTGGGGATCTCTGGGCTGGGGACTGGCCATGCTATCAGTGGGTATTGGCATTGACTCTACCCATATTGATGTGCTTGTTGAAGGCCAAGGCTGTAAGGCTCCAGAGTACAAGAACTACAGGATTGTTTTCATAGTCTTTGGGGTCTTGATGACACTCTCTTTGATTGTGGCCACCCAATTCAGATTTCGGTACAACCACTACAAGCAAGAGGAAAACCAAAGCACTGAGGCAGAGGACTCCCACGTGGACAGAAATTCCTCCACAGATTCCTCCCATGACACACACAGTGACACAAGCCAGTCCCAGTCCTTTAATTTTTGGGACTTGATTAAGCTGCTGTGCAGTATCCAGTATGGCTCGGTGCTGTTTGTGGCTTGGTTTATGGGTTTTGGATATGGCTTTGTGTTCACCTTCCTTTACTGGCACCTGGAGGATCTGAACGGCACCACCACGCTTTTTGGAGTATGCTCTGTTTTGAGTCATGTCTCCGAATTGACGGCATATTTCTTCAGTCACAAGCTGATTGAGCTGATTGGTCACATCAGGTAAGCCAAAGCTGTAAGAATGCTAGAACAGCTATAGACAATACTGTGTTGAGAACCCTTCTAGGCAATTTGCACATTCTTATACAGTAACAATATATAAAAACTCTGCCCAGTGTCATACACTGAACAAGTACAGTACAAAGAAGTGTATATATTTCTATGTCTTGTTCATGTAAGCTAAACAATTATTTCTTATAGTAAGTCGTAGATCTGCAAAATCAGCCATTCCAGGAAGAGAAGGGTAAAACGATAGAGTCATCCTTTATAAATCACTTTTAATCATTCAAAGCAATTTCCATGGATTTTCTAGCTGTAATTTTTAATCCTCCAAATCTTTAATCCCCCTTGTGTCTCAGATGATGGTGAGATACGGAAAAAGTATCTTGCCCAATACTATCTAGTAAGTTAATGGAAGAATTCAGTCTCTTACCCATTATATTTTAATTAAAATATAACTGTTTTTAAGTATGTGCAGCATCTACCATTGCAGGGATGACTCGTTGATTAGATGTATGTACCACCTTCATTTTGTGTAACTCAAAGGCAATGTGCATAATGTCCCTCCTCCTCTTTTTCACACTACAACAACCCTGTGAGGTGGGTTGGGCTGAGAGAGAGAAAGATAAGCTTCTATGCTTGAGGGAGGACTAAGTCTCATGGTCACCTAGTTTCTAGTCCACCACCTATGGGTGTTCCATTTCTTCTCCTGATCATGCTGATCTGGCTGTTCAGGGAGTGATCTAGCAGTTTTCTAGAAGTTAATCCCCTGAGCTGGAGGCAGTTAACGGTGTTCCAGTTGAAACAGGCTTCTTTCAGGGGCTGGATCAGGCCCAACACCACAAACTGCTTCAAATCAAAATTGAATTGTTTCTTTTTTCATTTCTCTCCTATCCCAATAACATTTGGTCTCAGACAGCCTTAATGATAACTGTAAATATGTATATTTGAAACTACTGTAAGAAAACATCTGAAAATAGAGAGGTTGTGGGGAGGTGGGGGGAACAGGTACTGGATGACATAAACTGAGCACTGCTGGAGAAAGTTTTGTATAGAAAGTAAGATTAATGTACAGTATGTGTTGATCCATAGTAGGGGAGGATTACAGTGATGTAATAATGTCAGTCTTCAGAGAAACAGAGGTGGATTTTTATTTCTCTCTCCAGGGGGAGGTTTTTGCCTTTTAGCTCACCCCAGACCTCTAGTAATCAGACAAGAAAAACGTACAACTACCCATCAGGAAAGACCATTGACCTGAAACTGATGTATCCCACCTCCAGGCCAATCTGGCTGGGGATTCTGTACATTGTAGCCCCAAAACATTTAGAGGACACCTGGCTGGGAAAAGTTAAAGCAAGACCATGAATAGATCAGTTGGATTATTTAAGGACAAAGCTGCAATTCTTATCTACTACTTGAGAAGAAACACCACTGAAATGGATTTAGTTTATTTCAGTGGGATTAGAAATGTTTAAGACTATGCTGTGAAATTTAGCTCTCATTGGCACAATTGATTCTTCTTCAGTGCTTGAGTAATAGCTTCCACTATGGTTATATGACATGGAAAGATGGTCTTTCACTAGCTTCCATGAGTTAATGTTTAGCAGCTGTGACTTTGCCTGGTGCAGTGTTGTGATGGTGAAGAAATGTCACATCTGATTAATAGCACCTTGCTTTGCAGCTGTAAAATAACTGAGTGCATTTCAAAAGAGAGAGCTGGAAAAATCGGTGGTAAGCTTTCATTTCTTGCAAATAGAGCTTGAAAATCTATCATTGTTGGGAAGCCACCAATGTAGAGGGTTATGTAATATTTTCTGATTTTTGATGCAAAATATTGTAAGTCCATAAAATTAGTTTACCTCTGCTCTAGATTCCAAATGCTCCATGGCAGTTTCATTTTTTTATAGAAAGATATGTGTGACCTTATTCCTTTCATCACTTGATTTATAGTCAGGACCAGAAATATTAGAACAAAGATAACTGTTTTGGCATTTGGCCTCTGTACACCACCACATTGAAGTTGAAAGGAAACACACCCAGATGCCAGCGAAGTCAGGACTTTCAGTTGTAATTCAAGGGGTTTGACAAAAGTGGGGCACTAAGCTTTCAGGAAGTACAGCCAGTGGCATACACATACCCCCATTGTTGGTCGCTTATAAGTAATGGAATGAATGGCTGACAAGCAGCTGCATGGCCAGATGTGGCCTGTTTCCTGGGTACCCCAGGACCCATCAAACAGATAAAAGGCCTGGAGGTGGTTCTGAGTGTTACATTTGCATTTGGTAGCTGTTCACTGGAACTCTCAACATGAGGTCCAAAGAGGTATCCGTGCGAGTGAAGGAGGCCGTCATTAGGCTGAGAAAACAAAATAGACCCCATTATATTTTAATTAAAATATAATGGACCCATCAAACAGATAAAAGGCCTGGAGGTGGTTCTGAGTGTTACATTTGCATTTGGTAGCTGTTCACTGGAACTCTCAACATGAGGTCCAAAGAGGTATCCGTGCGAGTGAAGGAGGCCGTCATTAGGCTGAGAAAACAAAATAGACCCATCAGATAGCAGAAATATTGGGAGCGGGCAATACAACAGTTTGGAACATCCTGAAAAAGAAGGAATTAACTGGCAGGCTCAGCAACAGCAAAAGGCCTGGAGACCATGGAAGACAACTAAAGCTTGTGTTCCATTGGGGAGTGTTGAGAATGAGAAACCAGCCTGGAGGAACAAATAAGTCCAAACTCTGGTGGTCCAGGATACCATTGATGCTAGTATTGTGCCCAAGGGCAGGCATGGAAGTTACATGCATCATCATCTGAATCCCTTGCTTGAATTCCATCCCTTGACCAGTGTGGAAACCTATGCGACCATGCTGGAGAGTGGGTGGAGGAGCAGCATAGATGACAGTGGAAAACCAAAACAGTCAATTAGGGAGGGAGGGAGGGAGGGAGGGAGGGAAAAGGAGGAGGAGGAGGTTGGTTGATTGTGTGTCGTCAATTGGTTTTCGACTCCTAGTGACCACAGATAGATTTTCGCCATGACAGTCTATCCCTAACCTGTTCTTTCAGGTCTCCCAACGGTGCACTCATCATTACTGTAACTGAATCCATCCACCTTACTGCTGGTCACCCTTTTCTTTCCTTCCACCTTTCCCAGCATTAGGGCCTTTTCCAGAGAGCTAAATCTTGTCCAAGGTAGGATCATTTGAGCCTGGCCATTTGTGCCTCGAGTGAGAACTCTGGGTTGATTTGTTCAATGATCCATCGGTTTGTTTTCTTGGCTGTCCACAGTATTCTCAAGTGTTCTCCAACACCAAAGTTCAAAGGCGTCAATACTCTTTCTATCCTGCTTCTTCAAGGTCCAATTTCACTTCCATAGAGTGTCACAGGGAATACGTTACTTGCACGATTCTGAACTTTGTAGGTATAGACACATGATGGCATATGAATATCTTTTCCAAGGCCTTCATGGCTGCTCTACCAAGTGCCAGTCTACCAAGTTTCTAGGCTGCTTGTTACTGTGCTGTTGATGGTTACAGCAAAGGCAGAAGCTATCCACCACTTTGATATCTTCATTGCCAGTTCTAAGGCTGGTGGTTCTGCCTGTTGTGATTAGTTTGCTCTTCTTTATATTTAATTTTACTCACTTTTTCCCTGTGCTCTTTGACTTTTAGCACCAGGGCTTGCAGATTCTTTACATTTTTGGCTATCAGGGTAGTGTCATCAGCATAGTGCAGGTTATTGATGTTTCTTCCTCCATTTTTAAAACCACCCTCATCTTCTTCTAATCCAGCTTCCCTTATTACCTATCAGCATGTAAGTTGAATAAATAAGGGAAGAGTATACAGCCTTGTCACACTCCTTTGTCAACCTTGGGGTAGTCTGTTTCACCATGTTCTGCCTGTATTGTGGCTTCCTTACCTGTACGTTTCTCAGGAGGACAATGAGATGCTCTGGGATTCCCATTTTTCTGAGCATCTTCCACATCTTGATGTGATCGACACAGTCAAAGGCCTTTCTATAATCGATGAAACACATACTGACTTCTTTTTGGTATTTTTTGGCTTTCTCAATTATCCAGTGTGCATCAGCAATAATGTCTCATGTTCCTCGGTCTTTTCTAAAGCCAGCTTGAACATATGGCATCTCTTTTCCCATATAGGACTCTAATCTGTGTTGGATGATACATTATTTTGCTAGCATGTGAAATTAAGGTTACTGTATGATAATTTGCACACTCTGTTAAGTCTCCTTTTTTGGGGTATTGGAATGTAGATTGACCTCTTCCGATCTGTTGGCCACTGTGTCGTTCTCTAGATCTGCTGGCATAGCTTGGTTAGAACCTTGACTGATTCTTCTTCCATTACTTGCCATATTTCAGTGGGTATTCTGTCAGTTCCTATAGCCTTCCAACTTGGTAATGACCAGAGTGCTGATCTAACTTCATCTTATAGTAATAGAGGTTCTTGTAAGTAGGGAATATCTTCTAAGGTATCTTGAATGTTGATATCTCTACTGTACAGTGTTTCAATATACTCCTTCCATCTTCCTTTGATCTCCTTTGAATCAGTTTCTACCTGTCCATTGATGTCCTTTAGCATACCAATTCAAGGTTGGAACCTCCTTCTCAATTAAGAGATCTTTTGAAATAATTTTCTTGTTTTTCCATAGCTGTTTCTTCAGTGTCTTTACAGATGTTGTTGTAATATTGCTTCTTGTCTCTTCCAACAGCTCTCTGAAACTCTTTGTTAAGTTCTTTTCTGAGACTTTTGTCTTTCTTGGCTTTGGCTTCTCTTCTGTTCTTGCAAATTTCCATGGTTTGCTCTGACATTCAGTTTGCTTTCTTCTCTTTTTTCATTTTTGACAGTCTCTCTTTGCATTCAGCCTTAATGACTTCCTTAAGTTCATTCCATAGTTCCTCTGGTTCTCCAGCAGTAAGGTTCAGGACTTCAAAGCGATTCCTGCTGTTCTTCTTGAAAATGTGGGTATATGTTCAAGCTCATATTGTGGAAATTGGCTTTCTTCTTACTTAGCTTGGAGCATGCACATGAGCAGTTCATGATCTGTTCT